GCAGCAGAAAGGTTTAAGATCTGAATTTTGCAGGAAAGATTCTGATCAGCCACTTTCCTGTATCACTTCTGTAACCTTCTCTAAACACAGCACTCAAAAGAATACCCAGATGGTGTCTGGCAGTTAGGCTGGAAAAAATGGATCAGCTGGATGGAACTTGATGGAAAAAAATAATCAGAGCCTTTTTTGTAGTCACAAAACCTAGTAAGTGATGCCTGTAAGTGGGAACAGGAGCTGGCTCTCCCTGTATCTGGTTACATGTAGCTTTTGGTAACCACAACGTGCTCTGGTTTTGAGCCAGTGGTGCTTTGATCTCTGCACACAGGGGTGAGGGAGGATGTGGTTGTGTCATCACTGGTACCTCAGATGGTTGCTGTACAGTGCTTGGGGTGCTCTGCCACCCACCCAATGACTATCTTATAATTTTCCATTCCTGATTTTATAAGTACTCTTCCCCTTTCCAGCTGTTTCTGATACTGAGCTGTGTTACAGCTCACGTTTGCACAACTGAGTTGTAGGGTTTTTTAATTCAAATGATTCTTCATTTTCTCTCATCTTTTACTTCAATTGTTTTCCCTTGTTGTGATTGCTTTCTTTTTGTATTTTTTCATCTTTTCAATGACATCAAGCAGTGTAATTACTCTTTTTTTGTTAGCTTGTGTTGGTGCAAGTGTCTTCCTACTTGCAAGAAGAATCCTGAATGCAATTGCAATGTATTTCTGCATGGTTAGGTTTTAAACCAACCCAAGCATCTCCTGTGCAATTCCTTAATGAAAAATGCAATTTTTCAAAATCAAACAATAACAGGTGAAGTTAAACCTAATAATATAAGAGCTAAAACTCAAGTGTTTATCTTACTGGAGACCTAAACCAAAGTAAAATAGAGACGTTCCAAACAAATAGTCTGAAATAAAAATGAAACAGAGCCCACAACGGAGTATTTTGGCATTAAACATGTCTATAAAAGGTTCAGCTGGTTGTTAAAACCATTAAAAAAACTCCAGAAATGTTGAGTGTCTGAAAAATAATAGTTACAATTCCTAAAGTAAAGGAAGAATCCATGGCTACCTTTTGTGCCAGGCCAGCAGAACATGTAAACTTGTGTTTTCCTACAAGTACAATCAGGATTGTATTTTTCTATAAACTTGGTAAGTACCAATGTGCTGTAGTTGTTATGGAAGGACCATGCTCTTCTCACCTTGCTGGGTGCTTGTGTTCTGCAGGTGTTGTACAAAGAGGACCTGGGGACAGGTACCCCAACCCCTGTCACTCCAGAAATAGAGAGAGTCAAACGCAATCAAGAACACATTAGCTCGGTATTTAAAAAGCATTTTAAAAAACCCTCAACCTGTAACAACTTCTTTTTGCATAACATCCTAACACCTAGTCTGGTTTTCTTCAATGGTTCACAATCCCATCCTGCTCCTTTATTTTTCTTGGCAATATTTTTAACTCTTTTTATACCCCACCTTTTTTTTGTGCTTTAACTTTTTTTGGGCGTTTTACAACTTTACTTGCGGTTTTGGTTGGTTGGTTTGTTTTTTTTTTTTAAGAACCAGAACTGAAATCTGTGACATTAACATGGGATTTCTCTCCAGGTTTTATCTTAACCCTTTTTCTTCTAGTATCTGTTGTGACATAATTGCAGAATAATCAATCATCAGCCCCTTCCTTAATATTTCCCTCTAGAACAAGTGTGAAATGAGTAATTTACAAGCAATCCTAACGCTAAACGTAACTCACAAAAGAGTCAGATTTAATGGTTTTGCCTGTGTTGAGTTCTTTCTTTTTCCTTTTTATTTTCTTTTTTGTGTGTGGAAACTTTCTTGTACCTCCCAGGTGTTGTACAAGGAGGGCTTAGGGACTGGCACCCCCACCCCAGTCACTCCGGAGATGGAGAGAGTCAAACGCAATCAAGAGAACATTAGCTCGGTATTGCTAAAGAAAACAAAACCTGCCATTTCAAATGCAAATCAAACCCCTTTAACTCCTCCTTATTACATTTTTCTCTCCTTTCTTTGCTGAATTTTGAACAACCCTTTCCTAATCCAATCACTAAAACCCTGTCAGTGGCCTTATATTGTAATTTTTCAATCTAACCCAATTGTCAGTAAATTGTTCCAGCTGTGAGATTTTTAACCTCATTTCCCTAAAACAATTAAACAGTTACAGCTGCCTTATTTTTCCTCCCCAGTGAAACAGTAGCAGGCTGAGTGGTGTCTCCCTCTTCCTCAGTGACAAAGTCAATCCTCCTAACAGTCTTCAGACTCACCCCAGCTGCTCACCCTGCAGGTGACACATGAGCTCTGAGCTTCCCAAAGCCCAGCCATGGAATGCAGCCAGTGTGTGTGCTCTGCCTTGGCCTCTTCCTGCTGGAGTGGATGCTTCCTTACCTGTCATAGAATCATCACAGGATGGTTTGGGCTGGGAGGGACCTTAAAGATCATCTAGTCCTAAAGGTCTTTGTAAGAAAACCTGAGTGACATCCCCATCTCACTAGAATATGGAAAAAAAATGACCAAAATGGTCCAAATAAGGAACAATTACTGTAGAATTGAATTCCTCTCCAGATTGTTTCCACTCCTACCAGAGCCAAGTGGCCATTAAAAAAAAACCTGTCCCATATTTCCATTTTAATTTGAGCAGCTTGGGGCCAATTTTAACTCATTCCAACCCAATTCAGACATGATCAATATGAAATTCAGTCCTGACTGGAGGTTAATAGAGCAGTCCAGAGAAGCCAAAAGCAGTTAAACCTTCAGCTACACTTCATTGTCCTGGAGGTCCTCACAGCTCTCTTTTATGCTGCTGAGCCTAGTTAGCCATCTCAGAGGCCAAGCTGCTCATGCAAGATCTTTTCTTTGAGCAAGGAAACTCCCTGGGGAAAAAAACACTTAAAGGCAGAGTTTTCAGGGAACTGCTTCATCTAAAACTCTCTGGCAGTTCTTGCTGGTGTAATCTGTGTGCACCCAAGTGAGGCAGCAACAAACCTCATAGTAATATTGCCTGATTCTTTTCACTGATTTTTTTTCTTATATTATTATTTTTTGGCTGGCCTTTGAACCAAGCTGACAAAACTTTTCTTTTTCATACTTGGAAGTTTCACTGTATTAAATTAATTCTCTCTCTGTCTTCCCTGTCCTCCTCTTTTCTTTTTTTTTTTTTTTTTTTTTTTTTTTACTTCTTCTCCTTCTTTCTCCTCCTCCTCCTTCTCCTTCTCTCCCTCCCTTTCCTTCTCTCTTTTTCTGCCTTTCCTCCTTCTCCTTCTCCTCCTCCTTCTCTTTCTTTCTCTCTCTCCCTCCTCTCTCTCCCTCCTCTCTCTCCCTCCTCTCTCTCCCTCCTCTCTCTCCCTCCTCTCTCTCCCTCCTCTCTCTCCCTCCTCTCTCTCCCTCCTCTCTCTCCCTCCTCTCTCTCCCTCCTCTCTCTCCCTCCTCTCTCTCCCTCCTCTCCCTCCCTCCTCTTTCTCCCTCCTCTTTCTCTCCCTCCCTCCTCTTTCTCTCCCTCCTCTTTCTCTCCCTCTCTTTCTCTTCTCTTTCTCCCCCTCTCTTTCTCCCCCTCTCTTTCTCCCCCTCTCTTTCTCTCCCTCTCTTTCTCTCTCTCCTGTCCTCTTTCTCCCTCCCTCCCTCTCCTCTTTCTCCCTCCCTCCCTCTCCTCTTTCTCCCTCCCCCTCTCCTTTCTCTTTTATTGCTCTTTTCCCCAACACATCCCTGTTGCCACACAGGTGTTGTACAAGGAGGGGCTGGGGATTGGAACCCCAGTACCTGTCACTCCTGAGCTGGAGAGGGTCAAACGCAATCAAGAAAACTTTAGCTCGGTATTTTTTTGATCATTCAAGAAAAAAAACAAACTTCCCTGTAACTATTTAACACCTGCAAATTTTATGCTGTAACTTATAGAAACATCCCCTTTCTGCTATTGATTTTTTAGTCATTGTTAGTTATATATAATGTACTTAATTTTTATAAGATTTTTTAAAAGAATCATAATACTTCAAGCTTCATGTCCTTTTCTTTTTAAAGCTAATTTATAACAACTTCTAGCTGTTTCATACCTCCTAATTTTCCTACTTCCTAGTATATTTAGAATATTTTAATATATTCCTAGTATGTTTATTTTATTTTAAAATGCCTTGTGTTACCTCCACCAAAAGCAGAGGGTTTATTTGTTCTTAATTTACTCCCACGTTACCATGTGGGTGTTGTACAAGGAGGAGCTGGGGCCAGGAGCCCCAACTCCTGTGACTCCTGAGATTGAGAGAGTCAAATGTAATAAAATAAAACTTTAGCTCTGTATTTTTTTTTTTTTGTATTTGAAAAGCAGAATTTTCCCTTTTAATCTATTTTTCAATAATTTTAACATCAAAAAATCCCTACTGTGTTTACTTGTAATCAATTTATATAAAACAAGTGTCGTGTTCCCTAGGTTTTGACATTTTTTCCCTCCATAATTGCTAATTTGTTTTGATTAGATCATCCTACTAATAGTAACTTGTACATTCCCTATTCCAGCTTTCTTTGGACTCTGGATTTATAATTTTTTTATTTAATATTTCCTTTTCCTTTTTTTTTTAATCACTTCAATCCTTTGTTGTTGTGGGGTTTTTTTCCCTGTTTTTCCTGCACATAACTAAACTGTTCATTGCCTGATTCAAACCTGTGGCTACAACCTCAGTCTGCCAGTGCTCTGCCACATGCCAGAGCAGTCTGCTGGGATGTTGATGGAATGGGGAAATCAGAAATGATTTCCTTGTTCCTTCTGCTTTCTGTTTGATACCTTCTTCCTTTAGGAAATCTTTAATATCGTTGATACGTTGGCAGCACAAGTTTGCAGGGTACAAATAATGGTAGCATTGGGATGTTTCTGGGGGTGAAAAAAGTGTGATTTAAGCCAGAAAAGCACTAGGAATTAGAAGGCCTCAGATGTCTCTTTCACACCAATGATGTTCACTCAGGGAATGGATGGCTGGGGCTGAGGTGTGTGTGCCCACATAAAACTTTCAGGAAGACGCATTAGAACCTGGTCTTCCAATGACTCCTGCACGGGCAGGAACAGGTCCTACCTCACTGCTGGTGGAAAGGCAATAGAACCCTTCCCTATCATTTACATAAAACTTGAATCTTCTAAATATTCACCAGTTTTTCTGTGTTCCACTTGGGAAGCAGCTCAGCAGGCCTGGGAGGTGTGTTGGCACTCTGGCAGAAGGCAAACTGGTGTGTTAGTGTTTAACCTCAGAGTTTTAAAATAGCTCTTTATTTCTATGGGTGTTTATAATCCCTATGGCTGTTTAGGCACCTCAGGAAAACATCTCTCGTGTTCTGCACATTCTCTGAGCAAACCAAATGTTACTGTTGTTTGGTTGTTCCTTTCTCTCCTTTTAACCCAGCCCTGTTACCCCACAGGTGTTGTACAAAGAGGAGCTGGGGACAGGAACCCCAACCCCTGTCACTCCTGAGCTTGAGAGAGTCAAACGCAATCAAGAAATCATTAGCTCGGTACTTTGTGATTTGAAAAGCAGAAAATTCCCTTTTAATCTCTCTTAAAATACCTTTAACACACACACACAAAATATTATTGTTCCCCTATAATCAACTTACACAAAAAATAATATCCTGGTCCCTTTGAAACTTTTTTATTCTGTTGTTACTTACATTTTTCTTGTTCCTCTTTTTAAATTACATCACCTTAATAACAACTTTTAATTTCACCTTTCTCTTGAGACTGATTATAATTGTAATTTGTAGTTTTTTTTACCCCCTCTTAAAAACCACTCTTAGTCAAAACAATCCTTAGTTCTGTGTGGTGGGTTTTTTTTCCCCCTGATTTTACTCACTTTATGTAAGAGAACTAAACCATTTGGCACCTGATCCAACCCTGTGGCTGCCACCTCAGTGTGCCAGTGCTCTGCTGGGGTGTTGATGGAATGGGGAAATGAGACAGAAATGATTCCTTTGTTCCTTCTGCTTTCTATTTGCTCCTTTCTGCCTTCAGGAAGTCTTTAACCATCTACTGCTGCACAGAGAGTTGTCCTGTCTAGCTTCTGAGAAGCAGCCAGAGAAGTTCCCCAGCTCTCAGCCAAAAGGCTGACACAGTAGCAGTGTTCAACTCTCTAGTTTTCAGGAGCCTTTTAATGTCTCTTTTTCATCCCAAGCTTTAGCTCGGAGCCACTTTGAAAACCACCTGCTTGTTCGTATTGTTGGCCTGATCCTTTCCCTCATTTAACCCAGCCCTGTTACCCCACAGGTGTTGTACAAGGAGGAGCTGGGGACAGGAACCCCAACCCCTGTCACTCCTGAGCTGGAGAGAGTCAAACGCAACCAAGAACACATTAGCTCGGTACTTGGTGGAGGAAAAGAAGTTTTGCCTTTAACTCCACTTAAACTGAATTGTTTAACCTTTATTAAAAATGACCAATCCCACTCCTTACTTCCATGTAATCTACTTATCAAAACATCCTTTTTCTTTGCTGTACTGTATTTTCCAGTGCTACTCACTACCACTTCTTCATGATTTACATTATCCTAAAGATTTTTAACTGTTTTGCTCCCTGTTCCAACTTCCTTTTTCTTCCATATGTGTGCTTTTTTTTGGTTAAATCCTATCAGCTTCCTGTCTTAATGCTGTTATCACAGAAGAGGGAGGGTCTGACTGTCTAGCAGGCTGCAGTGGGAGGCTAAAAGCTCCCCTCCACCAGGAAAATGTGTTTGCTGTGGGGCTCCTGTGCTGGATTTGTGGCACCTGCCAAGAAAAAAACCCACAGACCTCTTTGCCTTTAGCCCCTTCCAGATGCAATCCAGCCCTCATTGCTTCCAGGGGGGGAGCTTTTAGGGAATATTAGAGCCAGACTGAGCTCAAATATTTGACTTCAGGGTGGATGGGGTTGGTATTGAGCTGTGATTGTCTTGTTGGATGCTTCTTGTTGCCACACAGGTGTTGTACAAAGAGAGCGTGGGGACTGGGACCCCCACCCCTGTCACTCCAGAGATGGAGAGAGTCAAACGCAATCAAGAAATCTGTAGCTCGGTACTTTGCTAAGGAAAAAAACAACCTGAATTGTTCCCTTTAACTCTATTTCAAAGAATATTTTAACAGTTTGAATTAAACGGGTGGTGTAACACTTGTTGCAAAGCCTTCCCTGCAGCCCCTGGCTCTAAACAGCTTACACAAGTGGTTACTTCTCACTCCGGTCTTACTGTGGTGGCTTTAACTTCTTGCAGGTTTTATTGGTTTTTCAAACTTTAATGCCCTGTTCTAATCCTAAAAACATTTAACAAGCTCCCCTCATTTTCTCTGCAATGCTGACTTGTTGTTTTTTTTTTAATTGAGAATTTACATATTCATAACACCCTCAGCCCCTCAGGTTGGTATTTTGGTGTCTCATCTTTGCAATACTCACACTATCTACTGGGAGTGATCCTGTAGCTAAAAAACCCAGTGTGCCAACCCCTGCTTCTCTGGCAGAATCTTTCAAAGTGCCCTCTTTAAGAACATGCAGGACCCCTAGGCCCTGTGAAAGTAAACACCAGAAAAAAACCAACATTGCCTTAGGCTTGAAGTTTGTCTGCCAATAACTTTTGATTCATTGTTGCTTTCTTTGGCTCCCTTCTTCTGCCTCACAGGTGTTGTACAAAGAAAACATAGGGAAAGCAACCCCAACCCCCGTCACTCCTGAGATGGAAAGAGTCAAACGCAATCAAGAAATCATTAGCTCGGTATTTTTCACAGGAAACCAGTTCCTAAAGAGCTGACTGAAGTGTTTAACATCAGTGTGGCAGCTCAGTCCTCTGTGCTTTCTAACTTTACCAAGTGAATCTGCCATATAGCACCAAACTCCTGCCTTCTGTGCTTACAAACCAATCCTCTTACTTAACACTGGCTGAAGCAGGATTGTACTTGAACCAGGTTTGACCTTTTTTTTTTGGATGCAGAGTGGTTCTCTGCAACTTTTGGTGCCCCAGATCTAACCCTTTCTAAGTGTAATGATTCAACAGCTTTAGTGTTTGTTGGTTTGGGGTTTTTTTTGGTTGGTTTTGGGTTTGGTGGGTTTTTTTGGTTGGTTTCGTTGTGGTTTTGTATTTGTTTTTAGTTCTTTTCCTTGGTGATGGTACCTCTTTAATGACATTTGGATATCCTGTAGGTTTTGTACAAAGAAAATGTGGGGAAAGTGACCCCAACACCAATCACTCCAGAGATGGAGAGAGTCAAACGCAATCAAGAAATCATTAGCTCGGTACCTTAAATATAGATATGATTATTTTTTTTCCTCTCTGCTTATACTTTAATGAAGTAACATGCTAACTACCTACTGAAAGCTCATTTCAATTTAAACAAGAGATATTTTGTTTCTGCAAATTAATCATTGCTCCTCTTCTAAAATCAAATCACTTTGGTGTTAACGGTTTGATCCAGAAATGAAGGCCTTTCTTACAACTGTGTGCACAGTTGTGGGCTCTATCCAGGCAATATCAAGAGCTCAGGATAGTTGTGTTTATCTTTCTGTGTTTAGTGTTTAAGCTTTTGTCACCTTCTCAGGGGTATTTGATTTCAATGAAAAAAACAAACAAGAAACTCAACCACCGCACCCCGGGAAGTCCCCTCTTTCTGACCAAGTCAGAATTAGATAAACAGAACAAGATTGTTCTTGTTCAGGTGGTGCCTCAGTGACAGCTCTTAGGTGGTCTCCTGGGCTGGGAAGATGTGCAGGTGTAATGGTGCAGTGACAGCCACCCATCCTCAACACCCTGCCAGCAAAACTCCCTCCCAGAAAGGTCACATACAGATCAAAATACTTCTTAATTAGTTCCCTAGGGCCCCAGGCAGCTTCCCCCAGCCCCTGGAGCCTTCGTCACATTGTAGCTGGATAGAGCCTTTCCCTGTTAACCAGAAAAATAACAAGCTTTTCTTTTACAGCTTATTTTTCTTACCCTTCCTTAGAGCAGTTAAACGTTTGGCTTTGGTGTGGTGCTACGTGCCATGATCAGTTGTGACTGCTTTGGAAATTTGGTAATAAAGCAATAATCTGTGCTCAAACCCTTTTGATTTCTGGGGAGCTTCTAAGCAACTGGATACATCTTCTGCATCCCACAGGTGTTGTACAAAGAAAACCTGGGGCGAGCAACCCCCACACCCATCACTCCAGAGATGGAGAGAGTCAAACGCAACCAAGAACAAATTAGCTCGGTATTGTCTGCAAGAAGTAAAGGGGATCCGATAAGTTACCTTTTAAAAAGTGCTCTAAGTCTCCCTGGTTTTATTTAACCTGCTAATTTTTCCCCTCAAACTTAGTCATCTCTTAAAATGTAACACTTGAAAGAGGTGTGGGGTTTTTTGGAGGGTTTTTTTGGTGGTTTGTTGTTTTTTTTTTTGCCAATTAACTTTTTAATACTGTTTCTCTTGTGACTTTTTAATGTTAAACTTTCCTAACGGATGGTGTTTACTCTAAAACCAGTAACATTGACTAGTTTTAATTGGTACTTTGGTGACCCTGAGTTACTTTGTGATCTGTAGGTTGCATACAGAGAAGGCTTAGGGAAGGCAACCCCCACCCCCCTCACTCCGGAGATGGAGAGAGCCAAGCGCAGCCAAGAACACGTCAGCTCGGTACTGGAAGGAGACAGACAAGCACTTGAGCTTAAAAATAACCATTCTGAACCAAAAACTCCACTTCTAATCTAGCCTTCCTTTCTTATTGCCTATTTTTCCCTTTGATATTCACCCTCTTGCTCAGCAAATAACTTCTTAGATGCTTTATCTCCCAAGATCTTGTCTCCCTGTGCAGTGATGAGTGTGCTCAAGCACTGACACCACTTACAGAAGGAGCTGTAGCTGTTCCAGTCTGATCTGGGGACACCTTTTTGTGCACGGCAGGTTTTGTACAAGGAGCACCTGGCAAAAGGAACCCCCACCCCAATGACCCCAGAGATGGAGCGAGCAAAACGCAACCAGGAAAACATCAGCTCGGTAGGTTCTGTCCAGCATTAAATGGGATTACACTGAACTAGTAACATTTCAGTCCCTGATATCCTCACTCAGACTGACAGGGCAGAACTAGCTAGCTACCTAGTTTGGAAATATGAAGGAACTGTATTAAAATCAAACCTTTGATACTTGCCTTTTGTTCTCTGCTGCAGTTCAGTTTTGCTTTCTGTGTCATTAACTGCTTTGGGTTTGTTGAATTTCACATAACGTATGTTGCTTTCAAGTCTCTTACAAATACCTTCTGGTTTTGCTGGTCTTACACTGTGTGACAGCCAAATGGTTGTTCCTCAGTAACTGTATCTCGTTACATTTCTGCCACTCTGTATAAAACCACGGGGCCCCTGGCAGGAGCCCTGCTTTAGGCCCTGCTTTCCTAACCTGTTACCCCAGATGTAAATCCTGACCTGCTCCATCCTGTACATGTTTCTACATGTAACACATCATACAACCAGAGGATGGTTTGGGTTGGAAGGGACCTTTCAAGGCCATCTAGTCCAACCTCTTGCCATAAGCAGGGACATCTGCAACTGGATCAGGTTGCTCAGAGCCCTGTCCAACCTGACCTGTAATGCTGTCACTGATTGCTGGATAAATCCAGGAATCCACTAGCTGCAAACAATGGTTACAGCAGCAAGATGCACCTGTTGGATCCCAATAAAGAAACCCTACAAACCCAGCAAAGACTGGCATTTCAATGATAAGTACAGGTTCAAGCACGTGGTCTGTTTCACACTGATAACTCCACTAAAGCCAGTGGGGTGCATGTTAAATATATGGAAATGTTACCTAGAGCATTATTACTGCATTCCCTCTAGCTGTTGTTACAAGGCTAAAAAAGGCAAGTGAAGAACATTTGGGCTGGAGGCCAGAGCTGCCCATGCCTCCTCTAATGATGAATAACAACATTGCTTTTGCAGTCCAATGTTATTCACCGCCACAGCTGCTGCTGCCTTCCCCCTTTCTTTGCCAAGCTGCTGCAGCAGGGCTCATCCCTGAGATCCAGGAGTGGTCCTGGTCCCCGTGCTCACTTCTCACTTCCTCTCTCCCTCCCACCTGGCAGGTCCTTTACTCAGACAGCTTCCGAAAGCAGGTTCAAGGCAAAGCTGCCTACGTGCTGGACACGCCCGAGATGCGGCGCGTCCGAGAGACCCAGAAACACATCTCTACAGTAAGAGCAGTTCCAGAGGTATTTGTGACGGGGCAAGAGGGCGAAATAAAAGCCTTTTACCCCAGACATTCTGGGCTTAGCAGCTCAAGGACAATGTACATAGACTAAGTCTGGCCATCTGGAGTCTTAAACGCTAAAGGCAAGAGCAGGAAAGGCATGGGTGGGATCAGGCTCTTTATCCTTGCTCCTTGGAGTGGAGAAAGGCAAAGCTCAGCACCACAGGGCACCTCTCCCCTGGGAACCCCCCCCAGCTGAGCGGGAACAGAAACGGTTCATCCAGAGAACAGACATTTAATTCATCTCCCGTTGCAGGTGAAATACCATGAAGACTTTGAGAAGAGCAAAGGCAGCTTCACCCCTGTGGTGACCGACCCCATCACGGAGCGGGTGAAGAAGAACATGCAGGACTTCAGTGACATCAGCTACAGGGGCATCCAGCGGCGCGTGGTGCAGATGGAGCGCAAGCGCGTGGACCAGGACCAGGACCAGATCACAGGTCAGAACCCAGGGCTGATGGCAGCTCGGGCAGGTCAGTTACACAGAACACAAGCTGACCTCAGTAACCTGTTGTAGCTCAGCTCAGCCCTAGGAATTCGGCTGTGCCAGGACCTGGAGATGGTGTTTCCATCAAAGCCCAGTTTGAAGATGCGCTGCTGCGGCAGCTGTGAGGCACCTGTGGGTCCCTGCCCTCCTGCCCAGCTGGGCCAGGCAGTGCTGGGTTTTCACATTGTTAACTTCACCTCTGCACAGCAGAGAAACAGCTTAGCTCACTTGATTAGATAAACACTTATTTAAAAAACCAACAGCAAACACTTGAGCTGTGCTCCAGCTCTGATAACTACAGAGATATGAAGTAGAGCTTGTCCTTTTGTGCTGTTACTGCAAGTGAGGACAGAGGTGTGCAGCTCAAACTCTCAGGCAGGTGCTGGAGCTGCAGCCTCCCCTCAGCAGCCACTGGTTCTCCTGCAGGTCTCCGTGTGTGGCGCACTAATCCCGGCTCAGTCTTTGACTATGACCCAGCAGAAGACAACATTCAGTCCAGAAGCTTACACATGATCTCTGGTGGGTTCCACAGGCTGTGCTGTTTGTGCAACCAGTAAAGCTGAAGGTTTGGGGGTACTGAAGCACAGCTGGGGGCTGTGCTGGAACGCAAGAGCAGCCCCTGCGCTAAACAGAACAGGGAGAATCTGAGGGAGCTGGGGTTTGTTAGGAGGCTCAGGGGGGACCTTCTCACTCTCTAAAACCCCCTTCAGGGAGTTTGTGCCCAGCTGGGGTTGGGCTCTTTTTCCAGGCAAACAGCAACAAGATGAGAGGGCCTGGTCTGAAGCTGCTCCAGGGGAGGGTTAGGTTGGATATCAGGAAGCACTTCCCCATGGAAAGGGTGATCAGTCCTGCCCAGGGAAGAGGTGGAGGCACCGTCCCTGGAGGTGCTCAGGGAAAGGCTGGAGGTGGCACTTGGTGCCGTGGTCTGGAGATGTGGTGGTGTTGGTCATGGGCTGGGCTTGGTGGTCTGAAAGGTCTTTTCCAGCCTTGGTGACTCTGGGATTCTGGGATGCTGGAGATCCCAGGAAAGGCAGGGTCAGACAGGAAAAGGGAGAAATCCCTGGAAAGGCAGGGTCTGGCAGAGAAAGGGAGAAATTCCTGGAAAGGCAGGGTGCAGCAGAGAAAGGGGGAAATCCCTGGAAAGGCAGGGTCCAGCAGGAAAAGGAGGAAATCCCTGGAAAGGCAGGGTTGGACAGAAAAAATGGGGAAATCCTCCTTCTATCCTCGAAGAACATGGTTGATTTATAAGCCCTCCAGTACACAGATTCATAAAAATGATCCGTGGCAGACACACCCAGAGTTGGGCAACACAGTCATTGATGGGCAATGGCAGCTTCACCCTCCAGTAAGTGTTGCAGGTTTCTGAGGTTTTCTTCAAGTCCTTTGGCTGGCCACAGGGTGTGCTTGCTGAGTTGGACTGGAGCACTGATCTGACCACTACCACCCATCCCTCCTCAGGAAAAAGCCCTGTCTTTGGCAGGATGAGTTCCCAGATCTGGTGAGGACAGAGGTGTGCAGCTCAAACTCTCAGGCAGGTGCTGGAGCTGCAGCCTCCCCTCAGCAGCCACTGGTTCTCCTGCAGGTCTCCGTGTGTGGCGCACTAATCCCGGCTCAGTCTTTGACTATGACCCAGCAGAAGACAACATTCAGTCCAGAAGCTTACACATGATCTCTGGTGGGTTCCACAGGCTGTGCTGTTTGTGCAACCAGTAAAGCTGAAGGTTTGGGGGTACTGAAGCACAGCTGGGGGCTGTGCTGGAACGCAAGAGCAGCCCCTGCGCTAAACAGAACAGGGAGAATCTGAGGGAGCTGGGGTTGGTTAGGAGGCTCAAGGGGGACCTTCTCACTCTCTACAACCCCCTGCAGGGAGTTTGTGCTCAGCTGGGGTTGGGCTCTTTCTCCAGGCAAACAGCAACAAGACAAGAGGGCCTGGCCTGAAGCTGCTCCAGGGGAGGGTTAGGCTGGATATCAGGAGGCACTTCCTCATGGAAAGGGTGATCAGCCATTGGAATGGGCTGCCCAGGGAAGAGGTGGAGGCACCGTCCCTGGAGGTGCTCAGGGAAAGGCTGGAGGTGGCACTTGGTGCCCTGGTCTGGAGATGTGGGGGTGTCAGGTCATGGGCTGGGCTTGGTGGTCTGAAAGGTCTTTTCCAGCCTTGGTGACTGGGATTCTGTGAACTGTGCCTGTTGGAGCACAACTGCAGCACGGTGTGCAGCCAGTGCTTTGTAACAGGCCTGGTAAAATCCCACTGGGTAACCATCAAACCAGAGTAGGGTGAATTCATACACTTTTTCCCATCACTTTTGTAAAGCACAGGAACCAGCTCTCCTCAGGGTGCCTGAGCCCATGTCAGTTTCCCACTTGGTGTAACACAACTCCTCAAGGGTTGATACCAAGGGGAGAGCCTGGGGTATTTTCACAGAATGCTGACGTTTAGCATAGAAACTCCTGGGGTGTCTCTACACATGTAACAGGTGTGTTTCTGTGCATCTCCTTCCACCACAAAGAGCTGACTTGGTTCCTCTCTCCTGGCAGTCCAAGCCCAGCGCCGCAGCCGGGAGCATTCCCGCTCTGCCAGCGCCCTGAGCATCAGTGGTGGGGACGAGAAATCCGAGCCCTCGGATGGGGTGGATCAACACTTGTCCTACTACAGCAACGGGGGCTTCTTCACTGCAACTGCAACAGGTAGGAGAACTTCTCCTCACCCAGGAATCAGGGGCAGATGGGATCCAGACGTGCACTGCAACATGTTGGGGTGCCAACGCAACCAACAGCTGGGAAAAAAACAATAGGACAAGAGGAAAGGGCCTCAAGTTGTGCCAGGGGAGGTTTAGGTTGGACAGTAGAAGAAACTTATTTATTGAAAGGGTAATTAAGGACTGGCAGAGGCCACCCAGGGAGGTGGTTGTGTCTCCATCCCTGGAGGTGTTTGAGAGACAAGCAGATATGGTGCTGAGGGAGAGGGTTGAGCACAGGGTTGATTAGAGTTGGGGTAGGGCTGGACTCAATGAGCCTGGAGGTCTTTTCCAATGAGAACAAGCCTTGTTTGATTCTGTGACCCACTCAGTGACCTCTTGTATGGTCTTCAGTCAGAGCAACTGTAACCCTAGTGCCAATTCTGTAACAGATTTTCCTTTCCTAGTGGGCTACAAACATGCTAAAACCATCGAGTTACCACAGCAGAGGTCCTCGTCTGTTGCCACCCAGCAAACAACCGTGTCCTCTGTCCCTTCTCAGCCATCTACTGCTGGTGTAAGTAACACTGATCACTTGTACTAGGACACACAGTCCCAAACTTGCTGCAGGAGGAAATGTGACTCCCCCCAGTGCCCAGCCCTGGAGGTCCCTCACAGCTGATGGTACATGCTCCTGCTGACTGTAGCCCAGGACATGCCCACCCCCACGGCTCAAGTGTGGCACAAAACCAGGCAAAGGGGAAAGAGATTCCTTTAAATGAGACAGACCCTGCCTGTTCTTAAAAAACTGGAAATTACTTCTTCCTACTCCTGAGATAGAGTCTTGGAGTGCAGGTGTGACAGTAGATCTGGCACCACCTCCCCACCCCACCTGCTGGGAGACAACACCTGAAGTTACTGCTGGAGCTGACACTGCTCAAATACACCCTGAACACTATGTGTTCAGTTCAGTGTCACTGAACTACACAGGTACTGTGGTACTTGGGTAACTGAGGCACTTGGTTATGAAGAAGAAACATTCTGTGGTCTGAAACCAGGAGCCTTAAGAGCCCAGCAGCTCCTGCCAGCAGCAGCACACGCAGAGAACGAGTCAGAACTTGCCCTGAGCCTGTTCCTGCATGATTCCCACTGCCAGAGCCAGGTAAACAACTCATTTCTTCACCCCCTCCCCTTTCTTAAACCCAACAGAAGACCTACCGGGCCATGTATGACTACACAGCAGCTGATGCTGACGAGGTGTCCTTCAAGGATGGTGACACCATCGTGAACGTCCAGGCCATCGACGAGGGCTGGATGTACGGGACGGTCCAGAGAACCGGCAAGACGGGGATGTTGCCCGCCAACTACGTGGAGGCTGTCTGAGGGGCTGAGCCCAGCCTGCCCTCCTCCTGCTGGCCCCTGGGCACAGAAAAGGCTGGAACTCTCTGTTTCCAAGTGTCTTCTTGTCTTCCATGCTGGTAGTGCCTTATCAACCCTGATGCAAAACGTAATAAAGCAAGTAACTGCAGAGCAACGTGGTCCTGAATCATCCTTTCAACAGGTGAAACGTGCTCAGGAGGCCTCTTTCCTGCCATCTCAGGAAAAAAAGGTTTGGTTGTTTTTCTTTTTTAAGCAACTCAACTTTCAAACATTTCAGCACCACAAGCCATCACCTTTAACCACCCTGGAACTGCACTCCAGTTCAGCTCTGAAATTTTACCCCTGTATTAAGACTGCAACAAGTGGCACTCGTTGATTCTCCCACAAGGAGAGTGTTTTTCAGGGCTATTTTAAAATATGTTTGAAAGTATTAACTTCTTTTCCACACAAGCAACACTTAAGCTCAGTATCTCAACCCAGTATTTAGCTATGGAAAAAGGGGGTGGAAAACAAACCCACCCAACCCAGGAGCCTCTCCTGCTTGCTGAGCTCTTCTGCTTGTTTCTCATGCAGCTGTTCTGGGGTCAAAAGCTGTTACTGTAAATGAGTGGCTAAATGAAGCTCCTGTTTCTGCAGCATATTTGATGTATTTGCTCAAGCTGAAGAGCAGGAATTGATCCCACAACAGCAGCCTGGCCTTGGTCAGAAAACTGCTGAGAAAGGGAGAGAGCCCAGGAGGAGGTGGAAGATGCAAAAAGCCACAACAGAAGTCAAACTCAGAGGTGCTGTGAACAGACTAGACCAAATGTTTCATACCTAAACATGGTGGTTACCTGCTTCACCTGCAGAAGCATCTGGTACCAGTCATCAGCAGTACCAGAAGTAATAAATGACTGAACACTGTGTCCAAGGTAGACCAAATATTAAAAACAAGGTAACAGGAGGTAGGATTTGCAACATGAACTCTGCAAGCCTCTGTTCACTGGGTATTCCCAGCACCTCCTGCTGTGAACAACCAGCTTGAAAGGGAAACGTCCTTCCTCAAGGCAGGGTCCAGGATGGCCAGCAGCAAAAGGGTGTCAGGTACACAAGACATTAACAGCCTCTGGAGGTGTGTCAGGAACATCCTCATGAGCATCCTCATGAGCACAGACCAGTGGATCCAAGAGCTGGACAAGCTTAAGGAGGCAGATTTGGAACCAAAACATTTTCAGGAAAGCAAGAAAACCTACAGAGAACTCATCACGGTGCTGCTCACCTTGTAGCTCCAAAACACCTCCTTGTCCTGTTCATTTTCTTCAGGAGACACACAGGCAGGGCAAAGAATAGTGAGAGTCCTTTTGTCAAGCCCCTACCATGTCCCTGAAGAGCTGCTCCTACCTTAAGGTGGCAGCAAGGACCTTCCACAGTCCCTCTCAACCTTGTGAATCCAAAGCTGAGGGGTGAAGGGAAAAAAACCCAACCCCAAAACCACAACAACATGAAAAAATTTGGGAACTATGTGCTGCTTTATTTGCCCATGTGCAAGTTCTAAACCACCTGCAGCAATTCCTTCCAATAATGTCCACTTTGACAGCTACAGTACAATATATACACCTCAGATTTCCAGAGTGAAACCCAAGAGGCTCTCTCCCAAGGTCTCTGAGAAGCAGCAATGCATTCCATGCAATTAAACCTCAGATTCATAAATTATTAACCAACATTTCCCATCATAAGTCTGTACATAATATACAAAGAGCTCTTGTCAAATCCATTAGTTTCCCCAAGGAAAAAAGTTGTCTCCACAGAACTGCTGCAAACAGATCATGGGGAAAAGCCTGAGAAGTTCTGCACCCACCAGGGTACATTTCACTATCAGCTTCTTAGTGTGATCCTTACAAAAATACATGCAAAAATAGAAGTCATCCAGTTGTCAGACACCAGGCTTCTTGGCTGCTGCAAGGAATGAAGCACAACTTATCTCAATATAAAACAGAGCTGCAAAGAGCCACTTTCTGTCAGTGTCACCAAGGAGGGAGGGAACAGCCAGAGGCACCAGGAGAGCAGAGCTGAGGGATCCACCTCTCACCCAACAGGAAGAGTTTGCAGCAGTAAGAACACTTGGAATTTGAAAAAATAATTTACTAACTCTGCTGGTTTGGTTTCAAAGTCTTTGCTATTTCACAACTATGTCAAGTTCTCT